AGTGCAACAGTGAGCTTCGGATCCGTGGACCGGCACAGATGGACGGCCGGTGAGATGGGTTCGGTTCGGCGGTGGCTTCGGTTGTGATAAAGCTCGGCTGGACTGATGGCTGTGTAACGATGGGGGAGCCCGTCTTCTCCTTGCTTGCCGATGCCTGTTGTAGCGTGAGAGGCAGGGGCTTTTTATTGTCCTTTTTAGTCTTTTTACAAAATTTTATATTTTTATATATTTTATAAAATTATTGACTAAGGGTACTTTAGTCAAATTTGATTTTAAATTTGTAAGAGGGACTTGATTGCACCAAATTAAAACTTAAAGGGTGTTTTTTGCACTGGAAGGGTGTGATATGCACTATAAGCATACTTGAGGGGTGTTTTTTGCACTACACCCATATATATATATATATATATATATATATATATATATATATACACACACACTATATATAATTGACAAAATAAGAAAAACACAAACAAATGATTCATTTTCTTCTATTGAATTGTTTTATAGAAACAAAAACAGGGATCTATTTAATATAAATAGATCTATATTTACATAAATAAATATATATTTACATATAACAGCACGTCGATGCAATGTCAAGCTGAGTTTTCTCTCTCTAGTTTTCTCCCTAATTTTATTTTATTTATTTATTTTTAGAAACCAAAAAGAAAAAGAAAGATGAATAGAGTCCGAAAAATGGAAACAGACGATGCAAGATCGGAGCCACCGGCGGCGACGAAGTTTCCGGCTAGATCAGGCGACTTCCGGGGGAGGAAGGTTGAAATTGATATTGAGGAACGCTCTAGGTGGGCTGCGGTTGGAGGAATTGAAATCAACGATGGAAGAGGAATCGAAATCGCTCTGGATACTGCCGGCGATCGTCTGAGGTAAGTCTGCAATCGATCGTTTTCTTCTGAACATATTGAGATGCTTATTCATGACATCAGACCGCGAAAGCATGGCGTGACAATAATTTGTTTGGTCGGCCAACCAAACTCGAATACACTACTCCCCAACTTTTTCTAATCCTAGAAAGAGATAGAGGGGCCGAGGAAAAGACATATGGTATATGCACGTGTGGGTGGGGCAAAATGGAAATCAAAAGAATAAAATAGGGTTTTAATATTTAAAAAGTGATCAGAGGGTTTATTTGTACTTTTTTTAAATTTTAGAAAGGGATTATTACATATAAATGAACTTAATGGCCCATATTTACCCATACATTGAGTCAAAGTCAATAATTTCTCTAAAATGTGTTTAACCCAAAAGTTGAGGTGGCACATGAAAAAATACTGTTTCATATTTCTGTTGCCTAAAATACCCTTCTTCATATTTTATGTGCTGCCTAAAATGCCCTTTTGCGAAGGTACCACTTTTTTTCCAAAGGTACCACATTTTTAGACTGAAGGTACCACTTTTTGGCGTCCAGGTACCATGTTTTCTAAACACTCGTTTAGCTAGATTGGAGAATATTTTGTGTTATTCATGGCGTTAATGGAGCTATTTATGGATGTAATGTGCAACCTAATAAGCGGTGTGGGATTTAATACCATTTTCAATTGTAAAAATAAGTCCATTTTTTTGGCGTCGAGCTACCATGTTTTCTAAACACTCTAGTTAGCTTGGAGAATATTTTTTGTTATTCATGGCCCTAATGGAGCTATTTATTGATCCACTGTGCAACCTAATTAGCGGTTTAGGGTGTAATACCATTTTCAATTGCAAAAATAAGTCCCTTATGCGAAGGTACCACTTTTTTTCCAAAGGTACCACGTTTTTGGACTAAAGGTACCACTTTTTGGCGTCCAGGTACCATGTTTTCTAAACACTCATTTAACTAGATTGGAGAATATTTTGTGTTATTCATGGTATTAATGGAGCTGTTTATGGATGTAATGTGCAACCTCATTAGCGATGTGGGGTTTAATACCATTTTCAATTGAAAAAATAAGTCCCTTTTTTTGGTGTCGAGGTACCATGTTTTCTAAACACTCTAGCTAGTTTGGAGAATATTTTGTGTTATTCATGGCCCTAATGGAGCTATTAATTGATTCACTGTGCAACCTAATTAGCGGTATAGGGTGTAATACCATACGTATCAACTTACCCCCTTCCTTTAAGTAACAGACGTTTAGTGCTGATGTCAGGATGGATAAATGGGTAGAATGTCAATTTTGCCCTTTACAATGGCTGAAATGACATTTTTAACGTTATTGACCATTGTAGAGTTACAAAACTACCATTATTCATTCAACTGCTTCAATTTTAGAATGAAATATTTTTGATACTACATTCATGCAATAGTTGAAGAAAATTCAGGAAGGCTATAGTATAATAAGCCATACAATACTAATTCATAAAAACCCAATACAAAAGAGAACTTCATTTCATTCCATCTAAGGTAGATGCCAGTATAATACGCCATACAATGGTTGCAAAACCATACCAACCTAATCCACAATAAAAAGTTGCAAAGTTATTCTCCTTTAAAAGTAGAAAAATAGCTCACACCAACAGATTGCAAAATAGCAGCAAAAAAAAATGACACTGTTCAACATTATAAATGTCCCATATCCCACATCATTTCAAATACTTTTTGGATTCTGAGATCCTCCTATCCCACTTCCTCTAGCTCCCAATTGGGTAAATATAGGTATGTATTTCCTTGTTATGCGGTAAACCATTTTGTGGCCCTTTTCCTTTGCGTGGTCCTAATGAGAGTCTTCTTGTTTGTGTATTTGATGGACATGCATTCTCTGTGTCTCTGTGTGTAGTTGGAACAAAAGAACCACTTTGTCTCTGTGACTGTCACATGCAATAAAAATTAAGGTATTAAGGCATTGTATAATAATAATAAGGAACAAAAGCAATATAAAAATAGATAATTCGAAATTTTGAATAATAATAATTTTAAAAAGAATTATCAAAATTAAAAAAGAATTTATAATTCGCCCCAAAAAAAAAGCACTATCATGGTTAACACGAAAAAAAAAAAAATTTGCCCAATTAATACAACTATGAAAGAATTCACAGATTTATACCAGATATATATATATATATATATATATATATATATATATATATATTTGATATTACGAGACAAAAGACAACTTCAAAAAATAATAAATAAAAAAAAATCACTCATTCCTACCAACAAATGGCCTTTGGAAAATTTTCACTAACCGTGCAGAATATATAACATGGAAAAGTGCAAATGAACATTGAGCTATAGTACTAACAATTAAGTTATACTAAGAAATTATTCTACAGCAAAAATTATATCAAAAGTCGAGGAAATTACATCTTAGAAGCCTTGATGGATTAAGATGGAAATAGTGAGGTTCCTTGAGGTGAATGGTAACTTGTTGGCTAATTAAGTTACACATTGGATCAATAAATAGCTCCATTAGGGCCATGAATAACACAAAATATTCTCAAAGCTAGCTAGAGTCCTTAAAAAACATAGTATCTCGACGCCAAAAAAAGAGACTTATTTTTGCAATTAAAAATGGTATTAAATCTCGTACCGCTAATTAGGTTGCACATTACATCTATAAACAGCTCCATTAAAGTAATGAATAATACAAAATATTCTCCAATCTAATTAAGCGAGTGTTTAGAAAACATGGTACCTGGATGCCAAAAAGTGGTACCTTTAGTTCAAAAACGTGGTACCTTTGGAAAAAAAAGTGGTACCTTCTCAAAAGGGACTTATTTTTCCAATTGAAAATGATATTACACCACACACCGCTAATTAGGTTGCACATTGAATCAATAAATAGCTCCATTAGGGCCATGAATAACACAAAATATTTTCCAAGCTAGCTAGAGTGTTTAGAAAATATGGTACTTCGCGAAAAAAATGGACTTATTTTTGCAATTAAAAATGGTATTAAACCCCACACCGCTAATGAAGTTGCATATTACATCCATAAACAGCTCCATTAATGACATGAATAATACAAAATATTCTCCAATCTAGTTAAACGAGTGTTTAGAAAACATGGTACCTGGACGCCAAAAAGTGGTACCTTTAGTCCAAAAATGTGGTACCTTTGGAAAAAAAGTGGTACCTTCGCAAAAGAAACTTATTTTTGCAATTGAAAATAGTATTACACCCTAAACTGCTAATTAGGTTGCACAGTGGATCAATAAATAGCTCCATTAGGGCCATGAATAACAAAAAATATTCTCCAAGCTAGTTAGAGTGTTTAGAAAACATGGTACCTCGACGCCAAAAAAATAAACTTATTTTTACAATTGAAAATGGTATTAAATCCCACACCGCTTATTAGGTTGCACATTACATCCATAAACAGCTCCATTAACGCAATGAATAACACAAAATATTCTTCAATCTAGCTAAACAAGTGTTTAGAAAACATGGTACCTGGACGCCAAAAAGTGGTACCTTCAGTCCAAAAATGTGGTACCTTTGGAAAAAAAAAAAAAAAAAGTGGTACCTTCGCAAAAGGGCATTTTAGGTAACACATAAAATAGGAAGAAGGGTATTTTAGGCAACAGAAATATAAAACAGTATTTTTTCATGTGCTACCTCAGCTTTTGAGTCAAACACATTTTAAAAAAATTATTGACTTTGACTCAATGTATGAATAAATATGTGTCACTAAATTCATTTATATGTAATAATCCTTTTTAAAAATTATATTTTTAAAAAATAAAAATTAATTCTACACAAACCCTATATATTATGTTTGCACTTAACCCAATAAAATTTTGAGTGTTGAGCCTACAATGGGACACGGATAACCAAGATTGTCGTCGACCCCCTTAAATGCGTTAATAGGTACTTTGATAATTCTTATTTCTGTAGAAGATAACACCCCCCAATATCAATAATTTTCTGGTTATGAGCCGAAATGGGGGACCCACGATCACTTAAATCGGGCCTTGGCTGGCCCATATCACTGACACTTAAAACTGCCTACTGATCTGGTGGGTGGTCTTGATCAAATCTTTTATCTTCGATATAAGATGAGAAATTTAGAAGTCTATTTACTGCCAATAATTCTTCAACCGTGCAAGATAAAGAGAGAAGCTTCGTATAGTGATGATTAATTGCGTGCACCCTCTTTGGAATAACCCAACCTTACTGGGTTTATCCTCTGTTTCATGGCAAAATGTCCAAACAAAGCCTTACAGAGAAACCAGGCCTTTCAATTGTTGCAGAAACAGAGGAGTTTGTGGGGTTAGAGGAAGGATTGTGTGTGGAGCACTGTTGCCTATTGATCCTTGGGCACCCTCCATTGATTCACAGAGCATAGCTTCGCAGCTCTTTGCAGTTTCTCTCTTCCCATACATTGGTTTCTTGTACTTCATCACTAAATCCAAGTCCGCTCCAAAACTCACCCTCTTTGGATTCTATTTCTTGCTTGCTTTTGTGGGGGCCACCAGTAAGTTTCTTTCAGATCTTCCCTTTTCTTGGTTTTCTAATTCTTGAATGGAACTGGGTTCTGTTAGTTTTTAGGGTTTATAGCTCTGTTACTTTAATCATGAACAGACTTGTATACATTTTTTTTTTTTTTCTGTAAAGTATTTCTCTCTCTTTGCTGTTTATTTTTGTTCTCTCTCTATTGGGTTGACTAAAGATGACAAATATGATTTCCAATTTAAGAAATTAGGTAGAATTTTTAAGCAATGCATGAATTTCTTTTGGAACTAGATCTCATGTCATTTATTTGTATTTGGGGTCGTAAGCTGACCTCTGTTTGATTGCTGAGAAAATTGAGAAGACAGGTAAAAGAATAATGTTGAATCTTATGACATATTTTTGATCTATATTAAAATTTGACTTGTTTCACTTGAATGAAGGTATATCTTTTTAAAATTAATTTGTTTTTGTTTGTGTTTTTTTTTTTTTTTTAAAAAAAAAAAAAAAAGAATAAAAAAAAAGAAGAAGAAGATAATTTTGAGCTATTAAGGGGGACCTTTTGGGATTTTTATCCGTTGATGTTTTCTGGAGGTTCAGAGTGGTATAAGTGCCTTCAATTTTAGAAATGACTGTGTTTCTCGAGAAACATTTATTTGGAGGAAGTGTACATTCAATTACTGGATCAGATATAATGAAGTGTTGTTATGCATAGAGAACTCAGAGCTAATTTCTGACCTTCTTGATTAATGACTTCAAATCTCTTCATTTTGAGAGAGGAAATCAATGATCCTAATATCCTACTTGATTACAACTATACTTTATGTTCAGAAAATTTTTGTTCAGTTAAGTTGAATGTCTTTGTCCGGTTAGCAGTAGGGTTTCTCTTCCTTTTGCATTCTAACAAATTTTGAGTCCATGGAAGGAAGATTAGGTGCACCATATGCTAAATTGGAATTACTCAATATTCCGTTTGATTGTTGGGAAGTCACTACAAAAGGAAAAGGGTACTTACAATTTTATACACTCTGGTGTAACCACATCCCTCTATAGGATTCCATTGTGCCTTCTTATCTGTTCAATAGATCAGATGAAAATAAGGATTTATATTGTGCCTTCTAGCTGTGGCGTAACCACATATTCTATAGTGCCTTCTTATCCGTTCAATGGATCATATGAAAGTAAGGATTTACGAGGCATGACTTTAGGCATTTTTTTTATATACAGCTGTTGTATTGCCTCTCTCTTTTATTACTGTACTACTAGTGAAAAACAATCTGAAAATTGGTTCCGTATTCTTTCAGAAATCAAAGAGGCTTGTGCACTTGCATGCGACTTGAATAAGACTCTGTACATTCTATAAGTGATAGGAAGATCGGTACCATAGTGAAGTCATTGCAACTCTGATTTGCTTCCTTATCATTGCTCTTGTGCTTTGAGTTGGTTTCAACCTGATATGATTTGTGTTACAACTCTATTCCATGTCACATGCGTTATTGATTGCAATCGAGCAGTGGAATGTGCTATAGTTACATTGTAATCATAAATAGCTTATGCCTTTTTTTTTTTTTTTTGGACAAGTAAAAATATCTTATCCTTATCACAGGTTTCATATATTTGCACCTTATATTTTCTATACCACATTTTGTTGGCCCGTACAGATAATAAATTTTTACGCTAGTCATCTTTTAAATATTCACTGTTTGGGCCACAAATTTAATTATTGGATGGAAGCTGTCTAGCTTCCAAATACAGTGAATATAGGAAGAAAAGATCTTGTACTTAGGAGTTTTCATTTCGAACCAGTAGTTGTTGGGTTTTTAGTTGGTTTGAAGTACATTTAATTTTTCTTTTTTTTCATATCGAATGGTAAAGGTTTAATTCTTTGCAACCCATGGCTTGTAGGCTAATAGAGCTTCCAAATCTGTTTTTCTTTTTATTTTATTTTTTATTTTTTAGCTTCACATTTTGTGAGCACTCTCATGTGATGTAAATTCTTAAATTTGTTCCTGGTTCTTCCTCTGCTATCCCTCTCCTGAAGGTTCGTCGTCCTACATTATACTCGATACCACACAAGCTTCTTATTTAGATTTTTTTTCTTCTTTGGATCGTGAATGCTTCTTATCTCAATTGCTATGTTATCATTGATCACTTAGTTACCCTTGACTACTTTGTTGCAACTGTTGTACTGATTCCTTTCATGTTGGTTTTTGCTGCCCTCTCTCTCTGTCTTCCATTGAGCAGTCCCAGCTGGAATATACGGTAACTTCTTGTTACTGAGCTAAATTTATATAATTTTGAAAAATAATTATCATTATGAATTGCTAACATCAACTGCAAATTCTCAATTGTCATACATCTGGGACAGCAAAGGTGCAGTACGGAACATCCTTAGCTAATGTGGATTGGTTACATGGTGGGGCGGAGTCACTGCTGACTTTAACCAACTTATTCATTGTGCTGGGGCTAAGGGAAGCTCTTAGGAAATTTCAGATCGAAAAACAAGAGGGACCCAATGTCGTTTCCAGTACCAAAGAGGAGAAGGAATCATCCATCTAAATGCAGGAAAAGGTTTAGTTTTGAACTTTATCCTATTTAATTTGCTGATTTCATCATTAAATTGATTTCTGTTGTGGTTTCCAGATGGAGAAATGAATGTTTCTTATTCTGTGCGCTTCTTCCATCCATGTTTCCTGAGAGCTGTTGGTTTAATGGAGTTTTTGCAGTAGAAGATAACATCTTCTGTGCTAAAAGAAGCCCATTTGTTTAATTGAGGACTGGTCTTTGGTGGTGGTGGTGGTGGTGGTTGTTGTTGTTGTTGTTGTTGTTGTTGTGTGTGTGTGTGTGTGTGTGTGTGTGTGTGTGTGAGAGAGAGAGAGAGGAATTTTAAATGCTGACTAATTCAAAAATCCAAGGGCGTTTCTACACTCTCTGAATTCTCCTTTTTGACATGCATAATTGAGATGAAAAGAAGTAAAAGAAGTCATTTTAGTAATTTAAAAAAATAAAATAAATAAAATAAAAATAAGAATCCGTAATGGACAAGTGGAAGAAAACAGAATTCTTCTTTTGCATGTATATTTAAAATAAAAAAATAAAAGAAAGTAAAGTGTCAAGATTCTATTTGTTATAAAGATTTTTTAAAAAGGAAAATCACTAACAACCCTTCGTCATTTCTCCCACTTTGAGAATAAAAAACTGAGAATTCCAGTACTTTGGATCCAGTCACAAATTCATTGTTCATTCCCAAGGTGACAAAACCTCAAAATCTTTCTAAATATTCAATTATTTTAACGGTATTTTTATGGAAAATAACTTTTAGTAGAACACAAAAAGTTGTTTTCATCTTTTCAAGCCATCATTCTTCAATGCTTTGATATGAAAATATATTGGAAAATTTCAAATGTGACGGAAGACACCCGTCTAATCAAAGTATCACAAGAGGTGTGGTAATAGGTCTAAACAATTAATATTGGACGACTAATCAAAGTATCTCACAAGATGTGTCGTAATAGGTTTACACAATTAATATCGGAGGAAGAATTTATTTATTTATTTACAAAATCAGCATTGAACACATATTGCAAAGAATTTAGTAGCAACTTCACACATCCAGTTCATTAAGAAACAATAAATAGAAGATCATTTTTTGGGTAACTAAATTAATGAAACTTGTATACAAAAAGATGTAGAAAAGGAAAAATTTTGCGTTAAATATTTGTTATCCTCGCAAATTAGGAGATTCGAATACAGACACGTCCGCTCACAAAGTCGAGTGCTTTACTAATTAGGTGAGTGAATAGTATTCCTTTTACGTAAAACCTTAAAGAGAACAAATAAATGCTGGCGTCATGAGTTTGTGGTAGGATGGTGGTCCCTTTTATGGGCAAAAACCTTGCCATGCTTCATTATCCAAAACCTCTCTATCTCTTCGGCCTTCCGCCCTGGTACACGCCCAGCTATTAAATCCCACCTGCTCATTAATATACAAATAAATGACCTCTAAATACACACAGTGACACACACACCTTTATATTTCACATTGTTGCTTCATGGAGTGCATTAAAATTTAAATAATTAATAATCCATTTGCATTGTTATAAGGGTCGTGATAGATAAGTCGATGATTTTGGCATATTAGTTTGGCCGAATATACATGACAGTCCAGGTAAGCAAATTTAACAATTAAAAAAAGGAAAAAAATAAATAAAATAGACAGAGAAACAATATACTCATTGGCAGATTCAACTTTCCCAGACTATCAAGTTTTAGGCTAAATTCTTCTCTTCTAATAGTTATCAAATCTCTCCCTCTTGGTTCTAGTCTCTTCAAATAATACTTCTCACTATCTTAACTTGAAGAAAGAAACAACATTTGATTTTTAAAATATGGTTGCAACTTCATATCATATGTCATATTCATATATATATATATATATATGTTAGAGAGAGAAATATAATAAGAAAAAGAAAGAAAAAAAGAGAGAAAGAGAAGGAAGTAGTCTTTGGTATCGATGAACCAACTTCAGAACAGATCGACCCACTTCTTTGCTTCTTTCTCGGTAAGTGACATATTAGAAAGAGAAATAGAATGAAAAAAAAAAAAAAAAATTAAGGAGAGAAGAGATGAGAGAGAAAGAGATGGAAGCGATCTAGTTGGATAGGCCACGTAAATTCTGCAAAAGTAATGATTTATTGTCCCAATTAGGTTAACTCCAATCGATTCGGTGTCGTGTGACCGAAATTTTTGAATTCCGACACTAATTCAGGATCATTAAAAATCTTGGGGACCACTTCTCGAGTGCAAAATCTTGAAACACCTTAGGTCACTTAATACCCTAATTAATTAGGACACCTTTAAAATGTGAGACGCTCCCTAAACAAAATTGTGAGGGAGACTCCTAGCTAGAGTCCGATCCAAAATTTTGTAGGACACTCCTCCAACTCACAACTCTGAACTACTTTCTCAATTCATAATAGCTCTCGAAAGACATTTCTCGATCTGAGTCCAAATTTCTACTACTCCTTAGAATCACTTAAAGCCCTGCTAGGCTCTTTAGGTCCATCAAAATCTCAATAGATAAAACTTTAAAATTCTACCTTACAAAACATTGGGGAGGTCCATGTTAATAATGGGTTTTTAAGTATCCCTGTATTTTGTAAGTATGCACATATATGTAAAAAGTACCTAATTTTGCCTGCATGTTTTTGCCTGTAATTTTTCCTTTATTGGATAAATAAAATTTACTTAAGTCTTAGGCTATGTTTGGTACGAATGGAAAAAAAAGAAGACAAATTAAAAAATTGTACCAAAATTTTCTTCAATTTAATGCCGCCAAACACAGCCTTAAGAATTTCCACTATAATTTATGACCGGTAGAAATTGACGTGTAGAAAGTAGAAACAACGTGCTCCACCAGTTTGCTACCACATTTATTATTTATTCATGAGTAGTCACTATCTACATATTAGTATGTGGAGATCGTTAATATTAAACGTAAGCATAAAAGGCAAAAATGATGGTACGTATAAGATCGATGATCTTGTGGATGCAATAAATGTAAGTGCATATTTATATATAAGTAATTAACATTTTGACATATACATGTGTATATATATTGTTTTTACCTGTCTCCAACTAGTCTGTACATCCTGTTGATGAGATCTTCTTCTTGATCAGTCATGTTTATGAACTCCCACTCGATGCTACTCACTTCTGCAAGGGGTACAATTTTGAATTAAAGACGTGTATGTGCGTGTGTCCATTATGTGAGTGTTGAAAAAGGAGGATGTCTTTTTAATCAACCTTTTTCTTGGCACCAAACAAATATCAAGAAGAGTAGAGCATCGCACGAAGAAAATTGATGCCAAAAGGCCAAAAAGTAATTGAGACACGTTAAAACCTAATCAATAAACAAAAGATGCAAACATACCTTCTGAGTTGGTGCTTTCATTCTTCCGCTGTTTGCGGGGACGTTTGTCCATAGGCTCTATAGAGAGGAGAGAGAAGCGAGAGAGAGAGAGAGAGAGAGAGAGATGACAGGAGCATAGACTTGTGTGTGTGGAAAAGTGAATATTTAGTGGTGAGATACAAAATGATTACAAAGAGTTGATTGAATGACGGGTGGTAGCGACCAGATCAACGTAGACTCGTAGGTTATACAACTTAATGCTTTGCCTCTCCTATTACTAGATTTACATGTTATGTCCCTTTAAGAGGTGTTATTAATATGAGGGGTACTAGATTTACATGTTATGTCCTTTTTTAATTAATATTGGTGTGTGTGTGTGTGTGTGTGTGTTGGGGGGGGGGGGGGGGGGTTGGTTTTAATTAATATTGGTGTGGGTGTGTGTGTGTGTGGCTTTTTAATTAATATGAGGGGTACTAGATTTACATGTTATGTCCTTTTTTAATTAATATTTGGGTACCATTTTAAAATAGAGATGTTTAAAATTGTTTATGGAAAGCTTTTATATACAGCGACGCTGATAAGAATTTGGGAAGTAAGTTTTTTATGTTTCGCTTTCAAATCGCACTTTTGACTTGAATAGTGCGTGTGAGGGTAGTGATTGGATCCCAATTTTAATACAATATATGTTATGTTATTAAAATGGTACATAACAAAATCTACTATTTTTAAAATGAAGATGTCCAAAATTATTTGCGGAGAGTTTCTATAGGCATAGGGAGGTAAGTTTTTGAAATCTCGCTTGTACTCCTGACTTGAATGGTGTGTGTAATGTGAAATTGATACACGTGCTTTAAGAGAAAAAAATAAATATATATTTGTTTATGGAGAAAACATTTTCCTTTTCGCAAATTAAACTAGGCAGCATAGTTCAAGGACTTTGCAACCAAACAAATCTTTTTAAAGTTTATCCTCACTCTCAATCCTTCATCAATTGGTAGATTGGGTATAGGCTTCACATCTCCAAATTAATGTTTAGTGACTTCTAAATTCTAAACATTCATTAAAAAGAAGTCAAATCAATTGAGTTATTAGTTATTTTTTTGGGTAAATATTTAATTCATATTAGTTATCAGTGCAAATTCAGTTTTGACATAACTGTAAGTAAAAAGCGTGAAAAAGGTTTAATTGTTAATTATGTTCGATTTTTAATTTCAAATTATTTGGTTTATCATTTTCCTTCTTATATCACACAGGAAAATAAAAAATTAAGAAAGAAAAAGAAGAGAGAATCCTATGAAACCCATTCTTTCAGTGTTATTTTCTCTTTTGAGCCGCTTCCAAGAAGCTTCTGATTGAAATGAATGGGCCTTCAATGTTTGAGAACCAAATGTTTCAAATGACAAATACTTCTAAACTCTCTGGGCCCCCTTCGTGTCTAGACACGGTCATGTAAAGCAAGAGGAACGTTAAAACGGTAAAATTTAAGTAATAGAAATACGAAATTAAGAGTAAAAAAAAGGATAAAATTTAAGTGAGATAAAAATAAGAATTAGAGTAAAAGCAAATGACAACAGGAGCTTTACAAAGCATGAGAGCAGCACCACATAAAATAATTACTTAAAAAATTTTGTATGAATTAAGTCCAAGGTATACCCGGTTCATCTAATATATAGAATCGAAATGAAAATTACAGGGAAACAAATGTCTGGAAGATTGTACAACTGTAAATTTTTCCCTAGTCCGAACACAGGTGTGTTTTGGTCATGGTTCATTAAATGTAGATAATGAAACCAAATATGAGACATGGTCCTGGTTCATTAAATGAAGCACCAAACAAAAACGGAAGGAACCTTCATGGGCAGACAATACGTCCATAGGGCGAGTGCAGGTGACTTGTGCCTTTGAATAATGGAAAAACTTTAGTGTGGAGAGAATATTCTTATCTTAGGTACATTTGAAGAGAATAATTAGATTGGTATAACACAACCCTAAAATTAATATAGCAACTCTATATGGTATAATTAAAATTTAGGGTAAATTATTCCCACCAACCCTTTATTTGTCAGGATGCAAAGAACATATAAAGTCCATTTTGCCTTCTGATTTTGTCAAAATTACTTATTTAATCTTTAAAAAAATTAAATAAAAAATTAAAACACCCATTTACTCGTTGTTGTTGTTATACACCTTTCAACCATGGAGATTAACAAACAACGCTCCCAATTCATTTATGTGGTGTTGTAATTTACGGGGATCGAATCCACCAACACCCTTGCACCAAATTGCTCCATTCATAGTACTATCACGATGAACAATAATAATAAGCGTTGAATCAACATTTTGAACCCAAGTCCTAAGGCTTCGTTTGGATGGAAAGATTTGGGGGAATTTGGAAAGAAAATAAAGGAAAGGATAAGGAGTGTTGTGTTTGGGTGGGATGATAATGATTTGGAATGCTATCCCTCCAAATCCCTCATTTGGAATAAGATTTGGAAGGATTAGGAGAGAAAGGGAGCTAATGACAAAAGTTTCCCTCCCATGGAATTGGCAGTTGCAGAGAGAGACAGCCGGCTGAAGCTTTGCGAACGGCGACCGAACTGGAACAGCGGGTGATGGAAACGGATAGATATGGGTTTTGATTTGTTTAACAATCTGAAATGATATGCGGATATGGGTTTTGATTTTAAGGTATGAGAAACAGAACTGAAATTACAGAGTGAACGTGAATAACAAAGAATCATGGACATTGAAGGTTAAAGAAAGAACAGATTTAAATAAATAGGAAAGCTTCAAAGTAAGTCTACATTAGCATAAAAAACCTGTAAACAAAGGAAGTCAGCACCAAGGCCCTTGAGAAGAGTTAAAATTTCTTGGGAACGAGCTTTCCACCTGGAACAAACATTAACAAGCACACAACAATTACTTATTCAGAAGTTGACAAAGAATTTGACCAAACTTAGATTCTAATTTCCATGGGAAGGTTAGAACTAGACTTCAATTTATATAGTTTTAAGTGATCCACCATTTTCCTGCCAAGGCTAAAGTGGATATCAGACAGTTTTCGATTATGAATTGATAAACAAAATTAAGGACAAACAATATGCTTTCTCTCTGCGAAAATATGTAATCACCTCTCTTGTCAATTTCTAGACATTAACTCCCATGGAATTGGCAGTTGCAGAGAGAGAGGGGAGGTTGAGAACGAGATGGAGGCTACTGGGGAGGCTGAAATATATATATATATAGTTTGCAGTTGCAGAGAGAGAGAGAGAGAGAGTTGCAAAACAAGAATTACAGACCTTGATTAGTTGATTTTAGAAAAAAATTTAAAATAAAACCCATACGGAAAAGTCGCCGGAAGTTGCAGAGATCGTCGGCGCTTGCAGTGGCGAGTTCTCCTTGGCCGTAAAACGACTTGAGAAGAGAGAGAATGAGATGGAGAACGAGACCCGCGATGGAGAAGGAGGCTCGGCCGATGAGGCCAAGAGTTCACTGGAGTTGCTGAAGGCGCGGCGGCCTGAGATGGCGCCAGAAAATACAGAGAAAGAGAGAGGGTGTGGCTCGCGGTGGTGATGGGGTTGAACAGAGGGGAGAGTTGAGATGGGGGCTAGGGTTTCTGAGGGGGCTTCGGGTGAAGAGGTAGATGAAAGAGAGGATCTGTGAGAACGATGGAGGCGATTAGGGAGGCTGAAATGATAGTACTTTCATTACTGTCGATTGTCGATTCCTTTCTTTTCTTTCTTTGTGTTATACCAACAACTTGTCAATTCCATTCTTTTTCTTTCTTATTTAATCAAACATAAATATAAATTATAGTTATTATTTCTTTTCTTTTCTTTTTTTTTATAATCATTTCCTTTCTTTTCTCTTGTGTGCATCCAAACGAAACTTAAGGGTCAGTTTGATTCTCTTGTGTATATTCAAACGAAACCTAAGAGTCAGTTTGATGCAATAAAAAAAGGAGAAAATGGAAAAAAATGTGATAAAGGGGGATTAAAAATTTGTATTTGATAACAATTATTGGAAGAGAAGGGAAGGGTTTGGAAGGATATCAGTAAACTTAAACAGTAACTTTCTTAACCTCCCAAAAATGAGAGGAATTAGAAGGAAATGGAAGGAGAGACTTTTCTGATGCCAAATTTACCCTTACACAAATCAAAGCAAGAATTACATACCTAGATTAGTTGATTTTGAAAAAATTAAACAAAACCCATACATACCCATTAGCAGTTGCAGAGAAAGAGGGGGGGACAAGCTTGAGAGTTGACAAAGCTAGTGGCTGAAGCTTGCGAACGGCAAACTCGAACTGGATGGGTTTTGATTTTTTGAATAATCTGAAATGATATGTCGATATGGGTGAAGTATACGGATTTCTATCTTCTGATTCGTGTAGATTTTGTAATTTGCAGTTGGAGAGAGAGAGAGAGAACGAGAATAAAGATGGAGGCTAAATTGGAGGCTTAAATGATTTGCCCTAATTTTTTTTTTTTTTAACTTTTCTAGTGGCCCATCATCCATTGGCCTTATAGCTTATGCCCATTTTTGCCAATTTTTTTTTTTCTTTTTTGGTGGCCTTATTAAATGTATAAATTTATCTTTTAAAATATAGTAAAAAGATAAAATAATAAATTTATTAAAATAATTCTTTTTACTTTTTTTTTTCAAACATGATTATTATCGTTCCTTTCTTTTCCTTCATTAATCAACCAAAAGCGATAAGAGGTTAAAATTATCCTTTTCTTTCCCTCATAACTAATATTATCATTTCCCTTCAAACCCACCGTACCAAATATAGCCTAAATCTACAATACTCACCCTTGTAAATTGATAGCATACGTTGCTTCTCATAAATAAATCTCCAAAAATGGTGTCAAAATTGCAAACCCAAGTACACTAAATTTTAGCTGGCTGGCGGTGCCAATGATTCACTTACCAATCACAACAGTAAAGTGTGAGAGAGAGGTGAAGAGAGAGAAAGGATAATGGCGAGAGAGACTAATTTTTACTCCATTTTTATTATTATTTTTTTTCTTTTAATTTTAGGTTTTTAATTTCTTTTTACAATTAGTTTCTTTATATTTTTAGTTTATTTAAGCAATTAATTTCTTTTATGTTATTAGTTCCATTTATAGTTTTAGGGTTTTATTTATTATAAAAACATGCATCGCGATAGCAAAAATATTCAACATTTTATCAATAATATTTCATAATTCTTAATGAATTTATCTCTTATTTTATAAATTCAAAACACCATATGAATTCTTTATGAATTCAAAATAACTCGTTCCTTGTGAATAATTTATCGCTCCCTAAAGGACATACCCAAAGGAATGTAAGATCAAGCCGGGCATATGTATAAGAATCCACGTGCAAGAGGTCACAAAATTGGCTGCCATCAAGAGCGTAGCCCTAGGTCTGAAATCTGAATTGATGCCCAACGTGGAGTTCCTTCTTCAACTTTGTTAATCTGAAAACTTTCCTTGAACATCTTTTTCAATGTCACTAATTATAAAGTAATGGAGAAGATAAATAACTTCACTTTAGAGATTGCACTTGTTTGATTTGATTTTGTAGAATCTTAGAGATGGTGGAACTTTTTTCTTCTTCTTTTTCCAACAACAATGAAGCGTTTAGTTCTTTTTGACTGGGTACAAATTGGAGGGATTTGGTTTTTAAAGTTGACTTGAGTCTTTCTAAGTAAAATACTTGTCAAAAGATTGTAGTAGTGTTGCTAGATACTGTTTTAAGTTATATTTGGTAACAAGAAATTGATGCCATGAAATGATGGTCAAGAGGATGAGTCTAGCCCAAGTGTTGTTGGGCCCAACACTTGGGCTAGGCTATTCTATCTTAATAGCACAGTTCATGGCCAAATTGTCCGACACAAGTGAATTCCTCCTGGCAAGTCCAGTGAACCACTTGATATAAATTTTTAAACTACATGTGATATGAGGAAATTAGTGCTTGAAATTGAAAACAATTCATAGTTTAATAATTACTCCATTTGCAAAGATACCATATGGAGTGGAAAAGATGTTTTATTGCAAGCTATATATAGTCTTGTTGAACCACAACTAAGAAGTGCAAGGGACAGTAGGTGAAGAAAATCTCAATCCTTCCACGGACAAACAAGTAGTGGAAATTGGAAATTCCCTAAAAAAAAAAAAAAAAATACAAACAACAATATAAACGCAACACACAAACATTATTAAAGCAAACACACGCTCCCAATATGTCTAGAGATAGATTATACAGGTCGGTAATAAGAATACAATAATAATAATAAAGAAGCATATATAAAATATATGTAAAGGCTATAGTTAGGATAAGCATAGACAATTAGTAGGCAGAAGCTTGACATTGAAATGAAATGATTGAAATGTGGTGAAGGTTTTGGACCATAGAAAATGAGGGTGTGTGGTGGGGACAGTACCAGCAAGTGCTAACAAATTAAACAAGTAGCATGTGATCACAGTGGGGGTGTAATGGGCATGACCCACATATTGTCAGCCTTTCTACCAAACTTTGTTGAGAAATGGAAACGCTGCACTTGCTGCTCTATAACCTTAACTAGATAAAGTGGCCTATAACATGTATCACATCACCTGGCATTATGCTTGCAATTGAACACAAAATTACAGGAGGGATCTGTCTTTGGTTCACCTTATAGCTTCTTGTTTGTACATGGGTGGGGCCTAGAGTGTGTGAGTGGGCTTTTCATGTTTAGGACCACAAGAAAGCGAACTTTCAATTTTCAACACCACTAACAAAGCCCAAAATATCTGTCATAGTTTCTATCTAAGGGCTCCGCAGCAGTATAGTCAAATTTTTATACCCTCCTAAAGTAAAAGATTGAGAGTTAAAATCTTTAAAGAGAATGAAGGCGTTGTGCTACTACGCTACAGCTAGTAGTTTTATGTACTTGATCTTTTCATTCTAAATTTAGACATTTTATATGGGGATCAAGGTGCAATGGTAAAAGTTACAATTTTTTTTTTTCCTAGATGAGGCATTCTCACACCTTAAGAGTGAGACTAATCCACTTCAGGGCATACGCAATACCCCACAAGCCAAGTGCATCGGACAAGACCGTTAAGTCTAGGGCTCATCTTGAATACAACTTAATCCATATCGGTACCCCAAAAAAAATTGTATAGAATTGAAATACATAAAAATGCAAGTGTTAAGTTTAAGAGTTCACTTTATACAAAATAATCCTAAATCTTTTTTCTACAAAATAAGAACGGTCTATAACATCAAGTTGTTAGAGGTTCTTGTCCTACATCAAATTAGGTTAGGAGAGGGTCTTAGACCTATAAGAGTGGGTGGGCACTACCACCTACCAGCATAAACTTTTGGGATCAAAATAAACTTAATATTTGATTCGGTGTTATGCCAAATGTCTACCCGAATAGTGTTCGGGTCCAAATCCTTACTAGGGCCATGAGAACATTTCTATCAATAGTTTATTTGAATAGTAAAAATCCTTTTTAAAAATGGTTTTAAGAAAGCGAAAGCAATTAAATCAGTTGCATATCAGGATTAATAGGTCAAATACCAAGCTTGAACATGGCTAGCAGGAAGGAGAGAGAGAGAGGGGAACCAGTTGAAGAATCCAAAACTAGAAACTAGATATGTGGCATTCAGTGGCATCCCAATGGGCATCAGGAGAAACAATGTCAATAGGCCCAATACAAGATATATTCCTTGTCCTTAATAAATATATATATATATAACCCACAGACACACAAGCCTTAAACATATATGTATAAATGATTATGTCATACAAACCCCCATTTCTGCTAGCTCTCTACAAGGATTAAACATCAAGCTGGCCTCTTCTCTCCCACACTAGGCAATCTCTTGATTCTTCTCCACAACCCTCACTCCCTTTGCAGATCTAAGCGCATTTGCCTGAAATTTGCCACACAGCTTCATTAGTAATTTCTTTCTTAGCAGAGGACCAAAAAGCTACAATGTGTGTGTATTTATATATGTGCATTAATATATAAGGTACTAAATTATATATCTAGACTGTATGACCTGATCATCAGTGATTTTAACTGCAAACCCATCAACAATAACCAAAGACAATGTCTTTTTATAGCTGCCTGGCTCCAGGGTACTGGCTAACAACTCATCATGCTTCTTACTCAAGTACAAATCAAGCTCATATGCACCTTTCTTTGTTTTACTGTACACACCCAATGAAGTTATGAAGAAGAAGATAATCTCAGATATATAGATATATAATAGTAAGAATTAGAACAACATATAGATATATATACATATATAACATTTAAGGTAATAAAAAGAATTACTGACCTATCAGATCGAAGCCGCTCGTATTCAGGATCGTAGTTCATGAAAACAAAGTATAACTCAGTTTTTGTACTTGCCATTGCCACTCTTTGTGCTTATTCTTCCTACTTGTATCTTTTACTTTTGGTTGTGAACCAGACTAAGCAGTAATAATGTGTTATAGCTTCACATGGTGGCTATTTATAAATGAGACACAATGACCAAGTCACAATGAGTTTGTCCATTGTGGCCATTAGCCTTAATGCAATGATTTCTCTTCTCTAGTCAAGTTGGGAGTCCGATGCAAATTCATTCTGTTTGAGAAATTGAGCGTTCTATTAGTTAGGAGAATTTCCTAAAGTCAACATGTGAATAGGGAAAATCATTTGGAAGAATAAAATTACTAGAGTACCCCTGCGTACCTTTGAAAAATGCAGTTGCATCATGCTTAAGGATGGGCCAATGATTCAAGCTCGAAGTTTCTCTCACCTAGGGCTTACAAAAGTCTCTTAGAATAATGTTGACCACACGATTGTGGTAAAAAAGTCAACATTTCTGATTGAATATTAAAAGAGGGGCAAATAATGTGGTTTGGAGTACTAAAGTAATGAATGATATGATATGATGATGGAGGTGGACTCAGAGTGCACTCACTTTGACATGGATAGAAAATGAATGAGAGAAAGAAGGTGGAAATTAAAGATTTAAAATTTTAAATGGGTAAGTTTATGATAAAATAATTTAGTCTAATGATTAGAAAAAGAAAGTGAAGAATCAAAGAATGGATAATAATTTTTTTTGCTTAATAAATTGTCACATTAAATTGGGGCTTTTGTACCAATAGGATTAAAAACACCATGCATATTGGACTCTTTATGATTAAATATGTTTTTAAGTGTTGTGTGAGATTCAAAAAGGTAAAGAAGTGAAGTTTTGAACGAAAGACTTTTCCACTTGTATTGGCCTTCCAATGACTCATTTACAACATCTTTGGTTTGGGGTGGGGCATCTTTAACTTCATTTTGTCTTTAGTATAATACAGTGAATTTATCAAATTACCCCTATAAAAAAAATTTATTTTCTTTAACACCATTGATCTTTAATTGAAGATGGGAAGGAGAAATTGAGCCAAATTCATTGGTACCGGTGATGATGGTGGAGCAACTATTTACCACAAATTCATTTTAAACCCATGCAAAGGGCAAATTACATATAATCACCCTATCCTTTAGCTTTCTAACTCCTTTGTAGAACATCTTATTCGACTCGAACCGCTGACATCTATCGTAGGGTAAATCACTGCCTCTCAGGTCCCCGACTGATTCTACCATAGAGGCTAACGATAGACAATAACTCCCCCCCCGAACACAGCTTACAACTTTCATCGTACTGTGCTCTTCAAAGAGCAACTCTTCTCAAAATCTCACTCAAAAGGTGTTGAGTTGGAATCCCATTCTAACTAAGGATTTTTGTGGTTCCGGAGGATCCGGCTACAGGAGAACCAAGAACGGAGAGCTTTCCCCCCTTTTCCGCCCGACTCTTTGGTCCTAAGAACGCTGGTTTTAAGAATGAGTGATTGCCCTTCTCCGACCCTTACTGCCCAACCTGAGAGCTTACTATATTTTTTTATTCATGAATTTTCAGTTAAGTCACACAATTCTTTTCAATGAATGTAACCAAGAGCAGATTCAGAAATTATTAATGGAGTGGGCTAAAAAAATTTTGGGTGGGCTAATACTAGTAGTAATATATATATATATATTTTTTTGGCTAAAATCGCCGACAGTCAAAAAAAAAAAAATTGGTTGGGCTCAATCCTAACACCCTGATACGCCCCTTGGATGTCGCTCTTGCTCCACACGTTCTCTCATTTTCACTCTATGTAATTTAAATTTTGTCACCTTCGCATTCCTTGTGACTTATTGTTCACTTTTTAACCTTTTTGTTATATATATATATATATATACTCTATGTCTATGATTATATACTTAAATTGTCTTATTTTTGAAATAATAATTTGTAATCTTACAATCTTTTGTGAGTTTTAGATTTTAAATTAGATATATACACACATATATCCATGCTGATGGGTGAGAGAAAGTATGTTTAGCTTGTAATCGAGATGTTAAATTCGTATAGATATATCCTTTCGAAAGTGTATGGTTCAAATAGTCATCTCGACCATCTAGAACTTGTGAGGGTTCAACTCTCTCAACCGAATTGTGAAATTTCTTTGCCAATAATAATATTAATTGGACATTTGGTCATGATTAATAAGGTCAATCATGATAAATTTGAGATTTAACAGTTAATTTTTTAATGAAACTAACGGTCAACTAATAGTATGTGCCCTAGTTACTTACCGAAAAAATAAAAATACAAAACCAGCATGTCTACTTTATTTTATTTATGCTACTTGTTTAATTTAATTTGGTCGGTAAAGGAGAGCTTCAAAACATTAGAAAAGTTACAATGGGCTCGATTTATTTATATTATACTTGACCAATCTGAAATATTAGCTTTTATATATGTGTTTGTGTGTGTGTATATATATATATTCAGTGTGTGTATATATATATATATTCATATTCATATTCATATTCGATATCCATTTACTGTTGCATTTGATTAATACTCTATAAAAATAAAATGTCAACGTACAGTATTATAAAATAAAATATAAAAAAAAAAAAAAAAGACGCCAATTTATCCAAATGGAATCTAAGGGGTTTTAAATCCGTGTGCATATTAGAAGTCACAGGCAAAAGACAAAATATTTAATTTAAAGAGTTAAACTTTCTTCTTTATTTATTTATTTATTTATTAACATTATATCTTTCTTTTCTAGTTAAGTCTTTTCAAGACTCCAACGAAATCTTTGTAAAGTGTTTTTTTTTTTTTTTGTTTTTTTTTTTTTAACCTACTTGATATGGGCTAATGAAATTTTATTATTAGTTGCAGTTCTGGAAATGGAATTCACATTCACTGTCATATAAGTTCACACTACTATAAGAAAGTGCATCGAGTGCATGTGGTTATCATATTCTTTTTAGTCTTTCATAAATAAAATTTAAATCATTTTTCCACTCTAAGTTTGAACACTTTCACTGTACACAATTATTCTCAAACTATTTATTTCAATAAAAAAAAATTAAAAATATAACATATTTATTTCGAAAATACTATTCACATACAACATACATAATTACATTGTTATACACGAACTTTAGAACAAGAATGTTATACTTTTGCTTCCTTCTTACATTGTCAATATAATGATTTTACATTCTCAACTTAGGTGTAGATTTTTAGTATTATAATTATTTTGTTTAGCGGGAGAGAGGATAATTTACACGAGTGTGTGGAGGCAGGGGTTGTGCACGTGAGCAATGGGGTTCACAAGCTGTAGTGTCGGGGTGAATCAGAGGTCACTAACTGTCAGTATGCTATCAACGTGTCACTGAATCAAGCATGGAAGCTGGGGAGCCCTCATAGTTGAGTTAAAGAGCTCATACACATACATACATATATATATATATATATATATATGTATTCATGTATATATAGGTACAGTTCATTCAACAACTCGTGTAAGCTGTCAATCACATGGTGGAGAGGCACTGGACAAAACCTTATCAACACAAACACTTTTATGATCGATCAAAGAGGTACTGGCTGTTTCTTCTGGACGTGAGACCCACACGGGAGTTACTGATCAACAGTGTCTGTCCACAACTCATTCAATTCCTATACTTTAATATATAAGCCTATTATCCATAATAACTTTGTTGATTTTTGTTTGATAAGATTTGTCCACGTTTTTAATACTTTAGAAGGCTTGTGTCGGTGTATAACTAGGACAGTTGGCATAAAAAAACTCTTTACACTCTTAATTTTAATTTTAAAGGACACCAATTCCACGTTTTCGAACATATTTTAAAAGAACACTAATTTTATATTGGCTTTTTTATTGAACTTTTAGATATTTTGATTGAATTGACGTACCAGTGGACTTGTTCATGGATTGCATCGAGAAATCATGGAATTAATTTGTCTTTTGTAGTATTGGTTTTCAGAATATACAAAATTGTTCAATTAAATGGAATTGCTTATTATTTCATTTCTTTTATATGTTTGCTAATTACATATAAATGAGGGTAGATATATATATATATATATATATCTCCAGAAGCTAGATGGAATCTCTGTTCCACTGTATCAGAGCCCTCTATAACAATTGAAAGATCATCAACATTGGATCAACATTGTGGCAGGCAAGACCTAAAACTTGGTGGGTCCCACATTTTCATGAGATGTCTTTGGCAGCCCAAAGCTGACTGCCCACACCAATCATTTTTGTTCTCGGTAACATATTTTATGATCATGAGTGAACTGAGCTAAGCAGCTTAATCTTTTATTAATAGAGGAAAAAATAAACTTACCATTAAGCATTTCTTTTTTCTTTTTCTTTTAATCTTTAGGACTAGTCCGTCCATTCTAACCTTTTGTGCCAAATATGACCTTTTTCAAGGCCAGTAAGTTGGGCCTGAACAATGGGGTTCACAAGCTGTAGTGTCGGCGTGAATCAGAGGTCACTCACTGTCAGTATGTTATCAACGTGTCACTGAATCAAGCATGGAAGCTGGGGATCGAGGCCGGATCACAGTTGAGTTAAAGAACTCATACATACATACATACATACATACATATATATATATATATGTATACATGTATATATAGGTACATTCATTCAACAACTCGTGTAAGCTGTCAATCACATGGTGGAGAGGCAGTGGGACAAAACCTTATCAATACAAACACTTTTATGATCGATCAAAGAAGTACTGGCTGTTTCTTCTGGCCGTGAGACCCACACGTGAGTTTCTCATGACCAACAGTGTCTGTCCACAACTCATTCAATTCCTACACTTTAATAACACTGTATCAGAGCCCTCTATCAATCAATTGAAAGATTATCAACATTTGATCAATACTGTGGCAGGCAAGACCTAAAACTTGGTGGGTCCCACATTTTCATGAGCTGTCTTTGTTTGTTTGGGCTGAGTCCTTCCCACAGCAATCGTTTTTGTTCTCTGTAACATATTTTATGATCAAACTCATGGGATTATAAATGAACTGGGCTAAGCAGCTTAATCTTTTATTAATAGAGGAAAAAATAAACTTATCATTAACCATTTCTTTTTCTTTTTTTCTTTTTTTCTTTTTTTGTGATAAACTCGGTTTAAGAAATAGGACTAGTCCGTCCACACTATTCTTTTGTGCCAAATATGACCTTTTTCAAGGCCAGTAAATTAGGCCT